GGCGAGAAGTCATTTTAATCGCGAGGTAGGGTTTTCCTGCAGAAAAGTGCATTGACGAAGGTAGGTTCTAACTGTTCTCACCAAGGCTAAGGCCCCAAGGTGCCCCCATTATAGGGTCCACACTCTCCAGCCTTCCGACCATGCTTAGCACTAAGGTCATAGTCAGTCTTTGTGCCAAAAGAGGAAGGTTATCACCTTGAGTGGTGGTTTCCGATCACACTGGTGGGCTCAAGGCCATCACTACAGCGAACCGTACCTGCCACCCACTCCCTATGGATTTCTCACTTGCCCCCGGGTATAGAGGGAACTGTTGTGTGCAAAGGTTTGTGTACAGTTTGTATTTCAAACAATTGCGTAAAAATAAACAAACAACAGTTATTAAAGCCAAGCATTTAAAACATGTTATAATACAAGGTAGGGTAAAAGCGTAATTTCTTAGTTTATTTATTAAGTCGGCCCATCACTAAATGGGATCAACTCTCTAGGCTTCCCCAGTGGAGTCGCCATCTGTCGCCGCCGTCAAAAAGAGGCGGTCGGAGCGACGCGATGGTTCCGACTTTCCAATTTTTCGCATTTTTATGGGTGATGTTACAACGCCTTTAGGTTGTCCGATAACCAGGCTGAACCTGAGGGCGAGGTTTTCGAAAGGGTGTTCTTACGCTGTCCGATAACCGGGCTAACCTAAGAACTAATTTTAAACGGGTTCTTATGGAGTCGCCACCGATGTTTTTATCGAAAACATCGAAAAAGGAAAGAAAAGGCGTTGGTTTTCGAAAAACCAACTTTGGTCGTTAAAACCAGAGTTGGGTAAGGGAGTTAGTTACGTGTAAGGGAAGTATTAGTTCCCTTACGACGCCCCTTTCGGGTTCCCTATGATAGGCCAGCTATTTTATAAAAAAACTTTTGAAAAGACGCTTTTACCCTTTTATTTGCGGAATTAAAATAACGACTACATGACCCTAATGTCTATTACGCAATTTAATCATAAAAGTAAAGGCAGTAAAAGAGAGAGAGAGAGAGAGAGAGAGAGAGAGAGAGAGAGAGTGAAGAAACCTCTGAGGAAAGCTTTTGATTAATTTTCTTAAAAGTAGGGTGCGTTTTGACAGCCCTTCGCTCTTACAACGCCAAAAACTCTCTCAAAACATTTTAAAAAGCTATCTAAGACTCTCAGAAACTCCGAAAATGCTTCGGAGGGACTCTAGGAAGAGAATTTGAAGAAAGTGTAGAAGGGAAAATGGAAGAACTGTGTGAAATGAGGGGGGGAGCGTTCACTATTTATAGGGATTCGCGTCTGTCAGGTCGAGACGACCATCTCGTCTGACAAGGTCGAGACGGCCGTCTCATCATTCGGGACGGCCGTCTCAACTTGCAAAAGTGGCGAGACCGCCGTCTCGCCAAACGAGACGGCGATATCGACTTTTCCAGAGACGAGAAGGCCTTCTCGCCAAACGGGAGAGGGGTATCGCCATTGGGAAGTGGCGAGACAGTCGTCTCGCCAAACGAGACGGCGGTCTCGACTTGCATCAATGGCGAGACGGCGGTCCCGAAAAGCAAGACGGCGGTCTCGACCCCTGAAGGCAAAAATCCTTATTTTGGTACAGAAAATCCTTCCTACTCTAACATGGGGCCTAATAGTCTCTCCTAATGGCTTTTTAAGCTTTGTCCATCTTTGAATAGTAGGTCTTCTGCTCTTATTTTGAGGCCGGGCAAGATTTGGGGTCTACATGAGTGCATTTGAATTTAAAAGCTGCCTAAATAAGAAGACTGCAATTGGGGGAAACTACTACATTTCATTCCGTTATCTCTATAATCATTCTATTCCCCTATCTTTCTCTCTCTTCATTTGTCTAAGGTATCCTAGATATTACCTCCTTAATATGATGTTCTTCTCTATGAAACTTTGTAATATATTATCTTCTCTACCTTGATTTATGTACTAATATGTGCAAAATTTGTTCTCAGTTTCTATTGCAATTTTTTTCATAATTACCAATGAAACAGGGAGATATTTTGATGATATTAATCTGTGTAAACAGGGGGAGATTTTTTTTCTCTTATAATATTTTTCATAATTATCAATGAAACAGGGAGATATTTTGATGATATTAATCTGTGTGAAACAGGGGGAGATTTTTTTTTTCTCTTATAATATTTTTCATAATTATCAATGAAACATGGAGATATTTTGATGATATTAATCTGTGTGAAACAAGGGGAGATTTTTTTTCTCTTATAATATTTTTTTATGATTATCAATGAAACAGGGGGAGATATTTTGATGAATTAAAATCTGTGTGAAATTATTTCCTATCTCTAAATTAAACAAGGGGAGTTAAGAGAAGTCTTTGTTCATATGAGTTAGGGGAGTCTTATTATTAATATATCTAGGGGGAGATTAAGAGACTCTGACACTTGATACAAATCTGTGTTAATTTGTGTTAATCTTGAGCTGGCTATATAGAGGCAAGCATTTTAATTCATTTCAGGTGTTTCCTTGATCATCATCAAAAAGGGGGAGATTGAAAGCAATGAGGGGGAGATTGATGAAAATGTCTCTACATTCCCAAGAGATGATTTTGATGATGATTCAAGTCAACTACATTCAAGTCAACACCATTCAAGATGAATTAAGGACAAAGCTGAATTTAAGACGTTGGTGAAAATGTGAAACATTTCCCTACATGCCCAAGATATATTTTTAATAAAGATGATGATCCAAGCAAGCTCAAGATGATTCCTGAAGACTAGATAGAGTCTTAGAATACTGGATATGGAGGTACAAGTTGATGAAGTAATATTATGCATAAGCCTCCAAAGCACAAGTGTGATAAAATTCATAACATGATATTTTTCTCTGTCATAATCAATTATGATGCATCAGAAATGGAAAAATGATTTTCTCTATCATAATTGATTATACTTGGTAACATAATCAATTATAGCAATTCAAATTTGAAAAATATATATGTTTTGAAGAATAAATATTTTTTAATATATCCTGATTTTTATTCACAAAAATATTAATGTCCAACGACCATTTTCTGATGTTATTTTTCTATTTAATTAAGTTTCGATGAAAAATAAAAAACACACAATTACAAAATTTGAAAATACAATTTACATTCAATCAGTTTTGAGAAAAGAATTCTGAGCAAAGCAACAGAGATATTTTACACCTTCCGAGAAAACCCTCTTCTCTACTTCCTTCGTGCTTTCATTGTTAATCACACTTGTTCTTGGAGATTGACATTCTACAGACTTCTACAATTTGTTATCTCTATTACCCAGGTGTGACTGTTCTTATTTTTATTATTACCTTCATCCTTTGTGTATTGGTGGCAAAGGAGTTGTTTTTCATCCCTAGTGTGATTCTAGGGAAGTGTTCATCCTTAGTGAGATTTTAAGGAGGTGTTTTCATCCTTTGATTTGTTCAAAGGAGGTTTTCATCCCTAGTGTGATTCTAGGGAGGTGTTCATCCTTAGTGGGATTCTAAGGAGGTGTTTTTTCATCCTTTGATTTGTTCAAAGAAGGTGTTCATCCCTAGTGGGATTCTAGGGAGGTGTTCATCCTTAATGAGTTTCTAAGGAGGTGATTGTCTTTTTAATTAGTTTACTTTTTACTGGTTCTTCTACTCAGTTAATTGTAATTTGTAAACTGAATTTGAAAGATAGTGAATTGGGAGTCACTCTTATGTTAAGAGTTGACTGGGAACTGGATGTAGGGTTGGCTATACCGAACCAGGTATAAATATCTGTGTGTTGTTCTCTTTCTCTTATCTCTTTCTCTTTTCCTAATTATATTATTGCTTCAGCTTTATCTGTGTTCAAACAAATTATTGACTCACAACTAAATTTTTAATTTGACATCTATTTTAAAATTGTGCATCCATTCACTACATCTAGATGTCATTTGTCTAATATAATCTATATAAAATCTCTTAAATAAAACATAAACATTATCTAAATATGATTTATTATTAAATTGATAAATTCAATTAAAAAATTAATATAAATAAAAATCAAATCCACCTTATTCCTTTTTTAGCAAATACCCCTCGTAGTGAAATAAAGATAAGCATCTAACCAAATTCGCACATAAATATTATAAAACAATTATAGAAATTTTTTAATGACACCTTATCTCAAATTCTCTGATGTCATTATTGTCAAATTCGTACTTTTAAAAAGTGGAATAATGATTAGCATAAAACCCATTTCGCATATAAATATTAAAGAATAATTATATAATATTATGTAACGACGCCTTATCCCCGTATTTTCTATGTCATTATCCTCAAATTCCTACTTTAAAATCTAAAATTAAAAATTCAAAGAAATTACCGTACGATTTTATAATTTTAATATTTTCTATAGTATAATTGTAAAGTATAATTAATAAACCCATTATTATTAAAAAATAGTTTGATGAATTAAAAAATTCAATTTAGTCATTTATATTTCAATTAAATTTAAAAGAAACATTTTATAATATGGGTTAAACGTATGCATACCATCCTATTGTATCTGCAATTTAAAATGCTGCTTCATGCTGTGTAATCGTCATTAATTTTATACATTTACTTTTATAAGATTTTAAACTTAAACCTAACGTGATTTATGTAAGTGAAATCTTGCTAAGTGTAAAACAATTACAACATGTATATATATATATATATATATATATATATATATATATATATATATATATATATATATATATATATATATATATATATATATATATATATATATATATATATATATATGGAGTTTTATTGAGTGGTTTGAAACGCCAAACAGAGATTAGGTGAGAAAACCATATAAAGATAAATGCGAAATTTTATTACATGCAACAACCAACTGAGACAAATCACAGAAGACATAAACACAAGTGGACCAAAGTCTGAAACAACTCAGGGACACACCGACGAAGAGAGACTCGCACGAGTGGAGCCCTCGTCGACTTCCCTTTATTTTTCATAACCTAACTCTACGTTACTATCATATATAGTAAGTATTCTTCCACTGGAAAATTTCCCTGCGTGTCTTCTTCTTCCTCATACCACACCCATCTTTCAGAACTTGATGCTGCAATATTTCACAAACCATTAAACAAATCTGTTTAACGCAAAAAGAAAATTAAGCAAACTTCTGACACTATTCATGTAAAATAAATGAAACTCCATGACTGTCCTCTCGTTAAAGGTAATGCAGTGACTGTTGTCCTTATTTGTCAAAAAATTATCTTTTTATTTCTGTATTTTGTTTTTATAAGCGGTTTTCTTATAATGTACTAAATGACAAACTATCTATTATACATCAACATTAAAGTTTTACCTCTGTTAAAAATCAATTACATGAATCACATAACATAATTTACAATAGAATTGAAATCAACGCTTTAATTATTTCCCCAAATATTTTATTGGAGATCTCCTCCAAATTTTAACAAAATAGATTATAAATGTAAAAAATTTAGCATCAGAAACAAATAGAATTTTTTTTTTATAACTAATGTGTATCCTTTCAAGAGTAATCATGCCCAAAACACAGACATTAAATCTGGACACCTCACTAGTAAAAACATTAATCTCTTTTACAAGATCTAACCTCATCGGTAAAAAAAATTGCCCTTTCTGCAAATGAGGTGAGAAATACTAGAGTGAGAGTAATTGTGCAAGCATAGCATTGTTCTTTAGTAAATATTTTTAACCATATTCAGAGTGGAATAGTTAGATTCAAATCTGAATCATTGGGTTTTGTTAGTAGTAGCAAAAACATATTAGTACTCGTTAGGTAATTAATTTAAGTAATTAGCGTGATGAGTTACTAGTGAAAGCAAATGTGTAAGGAAAGATGTAGTGGAGTGTGTGGTGGTGACTGAAGCATACGTAGCACAGTTGGTGGAGGTGCTGATCTTGTAGGGGATGTTGACGCCACATTTGCCTGGGAGTAAAGCTGCAATGTTGGGGTTGAGACCCTTTCCTAACCCATTATTGGCAAGGGATTTCAGGCAGTTGCACGTGGTCTGGCGGTCAGCGGTGGTCTTAGCGGCGGAGTTCAGGCCCCTCACTCCGCTGCAGCATGCCGGCAGAGGGCTTCCGCCGCTCCTGAGGTAGCCCAGGCATGGAGTCAGGCTTCTGATGACGTCCGTGCACGTAATCGCATGTGCCAGCGGTGAACTCACCACAATCATGCATACAACCGCAACCATGCATGCAACCTTAAGGTTTGCCATCACCGCAGATCAGAGTTAAAAATGAGAATAGTATCGCAATGTGTTTGTTTTTGTTGGAGGTTCTTGCTTGGTGCTGCTTGGTAAGAAAAGTGGTGCAAGAGAAGGGTTTATATAGAACTTGAGATAGGACTAACCTGTTAGGTTGGGAATCATCATTATGGTTACAACCTTTGTTCTTTTTAATTAATGATTTTCCTATGATTTTAATTTTATTTACTATTAATTTTCAAAATTCAAAGTAATATATTTTGATTTTTTTTTTGTGATATAGTTCATTGGGAAATAAAAAACCCCAATTGTAACCAATTTAATTACAAAATTAGACCCTTTTATTTTAGCAGTCAAAATTATTTTTATGTTATTTAAAATTATATTTCTTAATATAGTATATTATATTAATAAACAACATTAAATAATTATAATAATATTGAGATAATTTAAAAAATTAAATAATAAAATTATTATTAATATTTGATAATTATATTATATTGATAAATATAAAATATTACTATTTAAAATTTTAAGTGGTATTAAAAATATTATAATTATTTAATAAATATACTATATTAAATTTTGAGAATAATTAATATTATTTTAAAATTTGACAATAAAAACCAAGTAAAAATATTTTAAAAAAATATGACAGTTAAATAGAACAGAGAATAATATTATTTAAAATATATTTTTCTTAAAATAAAATAAAAAATCAAGTTTAAAAGAAAAACCACTAAATCATATTTTTTAACAATTTATTTATTTAATTAAACTAATATATCAAATTTAATAAAAATATATTAAAATAAATATTTTAAAATTAATCTTAAAATTAAAAAATATCTTATGATAAGAATAAATAATTATATTTATTATGACAATAAATATTTAAGATGATGTAAATAATTAATTTAAAATATTTTATCATAATAAATAATTATTCATCTAATTAAAAATATAATTTATAACATATTTTTTATTTAATTATTTAATCTAGTTATAATTAAATTAAAGTATGATAATTAGTTAGATAAGATAAATTTAAAAGATATTTATTAAAAAAATTACTTAAAATAAATAGTTAATTTTTTTAATAATTATAATATAATAATATTTGTAATATTTTAAATTTATCATATAATATTTTTTAAATATATATATTAAAGTATTAATTATTTAAATATTTTAATTTTTAAAATTAATAAAAGATTTATTTTATTAAATTTCAATATACTGTTTTTAATTAAAGGTAAAATAGAATGAGGAAAAAACATAAGAGAAAAAAATAAAAAAGTATCAAAAACTAAATAAAGAGAAAAAACTAAAAATTGAATAAAGAAAGAAAAAAATTATATTACATACAATTTTTTTTAAAATTTTGTGTATCTATAATAAATACATAAACTTAAATATTTTTATTTAATTTAAAAAATATATATTATTTATAGATTTTATTTAAAAATAATTTACAATTAAAATAAAATATATTTTTAGATAATATCATCAAGTAAGATAGAAACAATTTAAATTTATTTTAGCTTTTGTTAATTAAGTCTCAAATAATATACATATTTAAAGTTTTTCAATCTATTAATATCACTTCAACTTTGTAAATCTGAAAAGTTTTAATAAAAGGCAATACGATCCTGTGTTCAACCGAAGAATTTATGGACCATGAGAACAGTGGGAACGCAAATACACAAGTGGTGTGAACGTGACGGGAGAGTGCATGTGGCAGGGTTTTGTTTGTTGGTAGTTGAGCCAGATTTAATGCAGTGTGGTACATGGTCTAATCGTGAGCACACCTGGCATAGTGTGTGTGACGATAGAGTTGGTGTACAGTAGCATGTGTGATGATTAAGGCCAAGGCATGGGCACTGGTCAATGTTTCACTCTTTCTATTTACTGTCCACAATTGACAAAGGTTTTGAATGGGTTACCTACCTCACTGTTTTCGAGTAAAACAACTAGTACTGTAGTAGCAGTGGCTGTAGCAAAATTCACTTTTGCTGGTTTGGGAAAGGACCAAAGCACGATAGTCACGGCACCGATTTCCAAAGGTACTTTCGCAGAGTCAATTGCATCTTCTGATGGGGATGACCGACGGAGGCACATTCTGCCACTAAAAAATTTAGGGTTAATAGGGGTAAAAGAAAAAAAGATAAACTAAAAAATCAAATCAAAGTAAATATAACGAGTAAAATGGTGTGAAAAAAAATTATGCATTTTATATTTACCAAATGTTGCCTAAAGAACAAGATTAAAAAAAAAATGATGTGCTAAAGCACATAATATATCAAAAAGAAAAAAAATATATAAAATATCTAATTGATATATTCATACTATATATAAAAAATAAAAAAATATATATATATAATATCTAATTGATATATTCATACTATATATAGAAAAGAAAAAAATATATAAAATATCTAATTGATATATTCATACTATTTGAAATAATAGGTAGATAAAATATAGATAAATATTTTATGATTGTCAATAGTAATAATGTTATTTTATAAAATATTTGATGTTTCTTTTTATTTATTATATTATCTACTCATTCATTTTATTAATTTAAGTATCAAAAAATTTTAGCAAAATTTTTTTTGGGTGATTTCTCATGGAACCAACAAAGTAAGGAGACATTGTAGAACTTAGTCAATATTTTAAATTTAGGTAAGAATATTTGGTGTTTGAGGTAAGATAAATTTTCTCTACTTACCACTATTTATAATATGTTTACTTTAGTCAAATAATTGAGAAAGTGGATTTGAGGATCTCATTTGTGTTTGAATGAAACGTGACTCAGAGGATTAATACGATATTAAAATTAATCAAATAGTATTCAATCAATACAATGAAATGAATAGTGAAAGTATAATATTCAATAGAATTTAGTCATTGCTCAAGTTTGTAGTAACCACAACTCAGCTAAGCAAATCCACCTATAAATCAATTATTATGAACTGAAATCAGGAGAGAAAAAGAGTGACGAAAACGAATCAGGGTTCAAAGAAAATAAGGAATTTCAAAAGGAAGAGTCAGAGAGTAATTCAACTAGACACACTCGCATGTGTAGTCTTTCAACAATATATTCTCTTTTCTTAGCCTGACACTTTTCCTTACTTCCATCCCATACAAATGAGCTAACATGTGTCCTGCTTGCTTAATCGAAGTTGGCACCAATTCTCTTCCCTTCTGTATGCATGTTACATTATGATTAAATGCATAAAATTGGGAGCAAATGAACAACATGCCCCTAGTTTATCTCTACCTTATGGTTTCAGCTGCACATGTAAAGATTTCATCAATCTCTGCATCGACATGTTGCTATTGAACTGAGTCAGGCATGAGACACCATTGTGCATGACCATGCACATTGAATGAATGTTGACCTACACTATTCATAGTTGAAACACAGCTCGTGAATCATTACAATTTTGTGTATAAATACACTCATTTCTACAAAGAAGATCGTGGGTTCACTTCTCCTCCATTTTATTTACAATTTTCACTACTACAAAATATACTTTCTACGTCGTCATTTAACGTCGGTTATAGCTGAGACGACGTAGAAAGTACTTTCCACGTCGGTTCCCAGATGAACCGACGTTGAAATTGAATATTAAACACATTCTACGTCGGTTCTTAGTCAACCGACGTAGAAAATACTTTCTACGTCGGTTCCCATATGAACCGACGTTGAAAGTCTTTTTTTTATTTTTATTTTTTACTTATTGACACTTTCCACGTCGGTTCCCATATGAACCGACGTGGAAAGTCTTTTTTTATTATTTTTTTCACCCAAAAACTCATTTAAATTTAAAAATTGTCATTGGCAAGATTTGAACCCAATACTTTAGAGTTGGAGACTGATACTCCAATCACTAAACTACTAGAATTATCTGATAATAACTTACAAATAAATTATATTTATATACAAATAAATATATATCCATGTAAGTATATATTTATTTGTATATATTTTCTGGAAAGTATTTCTATTTTTTTTTTCAGCCAAAAATTCTCTTAAGTTAATGAATTGTCACTGATAGCATTTGAACTCAGTATAGGGTTGAAAGTTAATATCCCAACCACTAAACTATTATAATTTTTTGATAATAACTTACGAATAAATTATATTGGTATTTTTCGATCGAGGGTGAAAGTGTGATTGACTCTTGCTTGAGTGAAAATATGTTAAAACTCACGAAAATTCACTCACTCAAGTCTCGCTTGAGCGAAAATTGGTATTTTTCGCTTGAGAGCAAATAACGCGTTTTCCAAATTTATTTTATATCATTATATAAATAAAATTATAAAGATTATATTACTGTCATTAAATTACAAACTCATATAAAGATACCTGCTCACAAATTTAGCATCAAATTTTGAAAACCCACTCGACACACACTTTCACTTTCGAGTGTGCCCTCACATCCAACATATAAATATATCAAAATATATAAATATATTTGTATTTATATATTTACACGGATATATATTTATTTGTATATAAATATAATTTATTTGTAAGTTATTATCGGAAAATTCTAGTAGTTTAGTGGTTGGAGTATCGACCTCCAACTCTAAAGTACTTGGGTTCGAATCCTGCTAATGACAATTCTCTTAAAAAATTAAAAAACTTCTAAAAAATATAATATAAAGAGATGGAGGACCTAATAAAAATATAATATAAAGAGAGGGGGAATTTCTAGATAAATAAAAGGGGGTAAAGGGGTTATAAATAAATAAAAATTATTAATTTAAAAAATCATACTTTCAACGTCGGTTTATTAGAACCGACGTTGAAAGTTACGACTTTCAACGTCGCCTGATACAACGTCGACGTTGAAAGCTTTATTTGTAGTAGTGTTTGAGATAGAAGTTCTTAACAAAGAACCAAAGTTGTGCAGGGGCGTGTTATATCTCCATCATCCACCTAGTCGAGTCAATTTGGTGTCCTTCTTCTTATATAATTTGTTGTTCGTCTCCATTGT